CCGAATATTCCAAATAGAGCCGATACCGATCACTTTTTTATTTTAATTTTTTTAATTTTACAAAAAACACATACCATTTGACGGCACAAAGCAGCAAGGCAGCGATGAGACATATGGAATGGCAGGAGTGGGGAGAGGCAGGGGCAGCTTGACCAACCATAGGGTCTCGGCTTCAGTGCAACCCAAGCGCTCCACAAAAACAAAAGATTACAGAAAATACTTTTGACCAATCCTTTGAGCTGGTGGTCGAATCGTGAAGCACCAGTAGGTAGATCTCGTGCTCTACACATTTCGAAGTGCACATACTTTACTATCTGGTTATGACGTTCGATCTTTGCGTACAAAAAGAAAATGTGTTGTCGCTACAATTGTTTGGTGTTACTCCTCGTCGAGGTGTTAACAATGTAACTTAATTTGCTCACTATGTTCTTGTCGCTATTATTATGTCCTTCGAGTTTTGTGTCGTGCTGAACTTGATACTTTTTTTCACCTTGTCACGAGTGTTGTTATCTCATATCTTTACGCTATATAAGTTTTAGTCTTTCCAACTTGAGCCATTCCCTGTATAATCCTTGATGAGAAGGGACCGAAAACGTTCGGATACTTTGACAAGTGCCTTATTTTGACTGGATGTGTGTTTGCGTGGATACTTACGACCTAACACGTACCTTCGTTATTAAAGTATTATTATTATTATTGTAGAAGAGAAAAGGACATATGGATACGAGTTAAGAGTAACTCTCCATCACTGTAACATGATACTTTATACAGTCAGAAAGTGCAATAACTAGGCACAAAACTGACAGAGTACTGAAACATTCGACGTCCTGACACCTATTATTATTATTATTATTATTTTTGTCCGTTTGTCTCTTTCCCTCAAACCAGTTAATATTTTATGACTTGGGGCTCCCCGCGTGCTAGTTTGTACGTGAAGTGTGTGGGTTACAGTGAGGGCTGCGTCCCACCCGCCTGTGTGGATTCACAGGAAGTGTGAGTTGCGAAGTCTGAAGAAAATGTTGAACGGCCTCTGCTGGGATGACGACTACACCATAGCTCAGTGTTTAGAGCATTGCTGGCTACAAGCGAGGGTCGCTGGTTCGAGTCCTGGTGGTGGCAGTCAATTTTTTCTTCAGACTTTTCCCGTTTGTCTCTTTCCCTCAAACCAGTTAATATTATTATTATTTGAAACTCGGATGTTGAGCCATAAATAAATGTAGAAGAGAAAAGGACATATGGATACGAGTTAAGAGTAACTATCCATCACTGTAACATGATACTATATACAGTATAGTACAGTATATATAGTATCATGTTACAGTGATGGATAGTTACTCTTAACTCGTATCCATATGTCCTTTTCTCTTCTACAATTATTATTATTATCATTATTATTATTATCAACGCAATAAATAGAGTAAGCTGCGCACTCAGTACAAACACCATAAGCAAAACTTGTTTTCATGTAAATAAAGAAGCTTGTTCCTAAACGTTTTCGTCGCCATCTCATCAGAGGATTACTGGCAAATCAACAATAGCTCTTAACTCAATATATACGCACAATGCAAGTAATAATTTAGACCCTAACTAGCGCGATAAAATGAGAGCTGAAAGAAACATTACACCATTCAACGATATCAGGTGACAACAGATGCGATAAATTCACCACTAGAAAGTTACCATGCAACCACAAACGAGAACACTCTATTTATTGCGTTGATTACATTTTTATCTCCACGGAAGTTTTATTATTATTATTATATTATTATTATTATTCAAAGGAACAGTAGGGGAAGTGAACTGCCTGAAAAGAGAAAAATCGCCAGACCCACCAGGACTCGAGCCCGGGACCTCGCTTGTCATGAGCAATGCCCGAACCACTGAGCTTTGGGACCGGGCTGAAACTAGAAGGCGCTGACAAGTTTTCACTCCAAAGGCAGCTCACAACACGTGCCACACATACTGATGGCACTTGGATCTTTCTCCCTCCCCCAGGGGACCAACCACGGGCAGTTTCTGGACCCTACCAGAAGTGAAAGAGAGTGATACATTTTGAAAGGATTGGGAGAACTTCAAATTCAAAGGATTGTTGAGGAAGTGAACTGCCTGAAAAGAGAAAAAAAGTTCTCCCAATCCTTTCAAAATTGTTCTTCTTCTTCTTATTAACTGGTTTGAGGGAAAGAGACAAACGGGAAAAGTCTGAAGAAAAAATTTGCTGTCACCACCAGGACTCGAACCAGGGACCCTCGCTTGTAGCCAGCGATGCTCTAACCACTGAGCTATGGTGTAGTCGTCATCCAAGCAGAGGCCGTTCAACATTTTCTTCAGACTTCGTAACTCACACTTCCTGTGAACTTCTTCTTCTTATTATTATTATAGACAACACCTCATGGCATGAAAAGAAAATCAGCCAGTAGGTGAGATGTGGGTATTAACCAACCATGGTGAATACAATAATTAAAGAAGAAAAGTACTGGTCAAGACAGAGAAGCATGGGAGGGACAGGTGATGGTGAATCCAGTGAGCATATTTAAGTGCGTCCAGGGTACTGGCATTGTGCGTAGTAGCGGGCAGCGCAAGCCAAGCAGAGTAAGCAACAAAGAGTGGAGAATGTACAAAGGAGGAAGTTTTAGCCTTGGGGAGAGCAACAGAGCATCTTGTCTGGGAGCCATCTGTGGTTCGGAACCAGTTGTAAACACTAAGATGAGGAGGATGTAGAGCTAGTTTAAATTTTTGAGCAAAAGTGCAAATTAATTTTTGACGGTGGGTTGACAGAGGGGCAAGCATTTGCAAGGACATACAGGGAAGCAGAAGAGTAGAGAGGGGGTAGACTAAACAGGATACGAAGAAGTTTCCTATGGTGGATTTAGAGACGCTCAGCGAGAACCGAGGACAAGCCACGCCAGCTAAGAGCAGCGTACATAAAAGAGGGAGGATATACAGTTTGTAAAACAAAATTTTGCATTTGACAGGAAGATGGTAACAGTGAATGGGGACGTATAACACCTAGGGCAGAGCTTAAACGGCTGCAAAGAGCATCAATATGGTAAGACCAAGAGAGACGATCATCAAGCATTTTTCCCAGGTGTTTATGGTTGGAAACAACCTTTTTCGGGTTCTGGGAAATCAGGATGGTGTAAAAGTGACATGGATGAGATTGGGAGAAGGAACATTATTTCGGTTTTAGTCAGGTTGGGTCTAAGTCGCCATGTTTGCATCCAGCGTAGGACACTGCATATCTGAGCCAACACTCGAGGTACCAGAGCCGCTGAGGACGAGGATGCTGACAGTAGGGATGTATCATCAGCAAATGACGAGACGCCTGGTTCTATAGAGGGCTAATCATTTACGTATGCTAAGAATAAAAGAGGTCCGAGTATGGAGCCTTGGGGAACTCCAGAAGACAATGGTAGGGGGTCAGAATTGATGGAGAGGGCAGAAACAAACTGTGATCGGTTACTTATATAGGACTCCAGCCAGGAGAGAGCAGGGCCAGACACACCAAAGACAATATGTAGCTTGGCAAGGAGGCCACGATGCCAGACAGTATTAAAGGCCTTTGCCAAGTCAAAGAAACAGGGAGCAATATGGTGTCGAGCATCACGAAGGGTGGCAATGTATTGTACTAGACGAGCTAGTTGGTCAGAGGTTGAGTCGTTGTGGCGAAAGCCAGATTGGGAAAGGCTAAGGCATGGTGAAATGTGGCGATACAACTGGTCATAACAGTCATTATCTTTTCACATACCTTTTAAAGGTAGCAGAAAAAGAGATATTAGTGTACGAAACTTTGTGATCGGGAGCCTTTACACTTGTAGATGGACGTGACCTTAGCGATCTTCCAATGATCAGGAAATACGCCGGAGGAGTAGGAAAGGTTGAATATAAGGCACAGTGGGTTCACCAGAGATGGAGCCAGAACTTTGAGAACTTCATTTGGTAGAGCATCAGGACTAGGGCTTTTGTTGCTTTTTAGTCTTTTTAGGTAGCTGCAAACAGATGATGTGGTGGTATGTACAGAGCGCAGACCAGAAGACACAGTCGCAGAACGTTGCAGAGGTGGTATTCGAGAGGTATGATCGTCTGGAATACCAGCTGATGTGAATTGCGTATAGAGAGTATTAGCTACAGACTTGGGATCAGTCCCCATCAAACCATTTGAAGCTAATAACGGAGGTATGTCTTGCCATGTACTAGTTGTCCTTTGAGTGCGAACAAAGGTATACAGGTTAGGCCTGGAAGAGGGGTGAGACAGGGTGGTAGTGAGCGAACGTAAATATGCTCGATACTTAGAACGTGACAATGCCTTCACCAGATTATGCTGTTTTTTTTATCAAGAAATATTAGCATGGGTGGAGTACTTCTTGCTTAAGCTATAGTAGTCGTATTTGAGTTTAATTGCACCTTGGAGATCTTTGTCGAGCCAAGGGATCCTGGGGTTACGGCAGGACTGACGAGGGTGATGGCTGCCATGTTTGGGTGTAACGGGTCTTGCTCCATATTGTGGCACATAGTACGCTTAACCGCACACATCCGTTTTCCACAAAATGTCCGGATAGGCGAGGGAACTGGATAATCGAACACGCATACTGTATGCATGCAATACAAATCGGTAACCGCCGATCTTCTTACGAATGGCGAGGGGTCCGGGTGAAAGCGAACCGGATAAGTGAGGTCTGACTATAATATTCATAGATTCAATAAGATACACTACATTGATCTTGGGAAACAGAAGGAAGAAGAACGACCATTGTCAACCCGACAAGAAGAGAATAACTCTGAACAGGAGAGTGTGCGTGCATATGCGGGAAAGCATGCTTGTGCATATATGGTAGAGTACGCGTATGAGACCAGAAGTGTGCACTTGCGTACATGCCATAAGTGGGTGCACATCACCATTAATAAGTACTTCATATCAAATACAGACACGAAGGTTTTGAAGAAGTAGCAGACACTTTCCAGCATAATACACAATGATGAATATAGAACCACATTCAACTAACCTGCGCAAATGTCAGTGTTTGCCCATACAAAAGAGGTTCTTTTGCTGCACTCAATGTCGTTGACACCCCCGGAGATTGCCACATAGCCCTGGGAACAAGTGACCGTTCCATTGTCTGAAATAGACTCGTAGCCACGTGTGTTCTCGTGCTTCCACACGCATGCTGATGCATTGAAAATATTTCAAAATTAAGGCAACAAGTATTAGTATTAGTGCTGCTTCTTCTGAGTGATGTGCACAGTTGCACCTCCTCCTCCCCCCCCCCCCCCCCCCCGAGATGTCGCATGTTGCCTACTGGTTAATACTACTTCCCCAGCGTCATTGAAATTGTCGCAGTTTGACTAATGACTTGTCACTTGCTACTGACAACTCCACAAGCTAAGCCATACAAAACATAGTACACAGTATGATAGTCTGAAGGCTGTGTAACGTTCCAGGACAGTTGGACTGAGAGTTTTCACCAAGAGATGAAGGCCTCGTCGTCGCTGAAGTCAATGGACACAAAACTATCGTTCCGAAATATTTCAAGGAAGGTTGTAAGTTAGTTGGTTGCGCCTCATCTCAAACGCTTTGACTTTCTCTACAGGACAAGAGCTGCTATGCTTATCGTCTGCTATCTCTGGATGATTTCTACTTCACCACCAACGAAGTAGGAATGCACGATCGTTGCGAGGTCGGTTGATTACCGCCGGCGGAATCACCTCGATCTTGAGATGAACTTTTTTTAGCTGTGGCTTGCCCATTAATTTTAGCTGTGTGGTCACAGCTCATACAGGTAAGTGTACTATCACGTCCAGCGCGCACCCTTTTCCAGCATCACTGGTACGGCACCAGCGCCTGCATCACTAGCACTACACGTAGAGTCTACACAGCTCTTGCAGGTACAATCATGTACTGAGCTCATGAGTGTCTCGAGCCAGAGCAACAAATTTTATCGCTCTTGCATTTATTTACAGGGCTGTCACAGGGCTCATTTTAGTTTGCTGACCCCTCAATGTTTCTCCAAGCGCTGCCGCTTGTTCCACGAAGTCATTCTCACCCCAGCTAAGGTAAAACAGTTGTGAGGCTTTGAGTGAATGGCCATAAGCACGAGTAATGTGTATGCTGCAACGCCTGACTGATCTCAGCGAGTCGAAAGTACCATCGCAGCGACATCAGCGAAGAACTTGAGTCTAGTTCAAAAATTCCAGCTTCCAATAACAGAAAACGGAACTTTGCCGTCACCCTATACTGATGACTATCGCCTATGTCCGATTCCTTGCCTCTGGTACGAGTGCTGGAGAGTAAATACCCCGTTTTATATCAAAAATCAAACTGCGACAACTTCGATCACGCGGAGGAAGTAGAACACATGGGACCATTCCTGAGGACACCACATGCACTTGCCCACACCTCAAACAAAGCCACTTACGTGCACCAAAATAATCATATTTTACTAGCAATCAGCACACGAAGAGACGTAGCTAGTTGAAAATGTTATGAGGCCTTTCGTACCATTACTCTTCAAAATCAGTACATGGTGATAATGTGAACAACAAGCGGTCCGAAATGGTGTCCAAGTGCAGACATGAGAACAAGAACCTCCTCAAATACCACTGACCTTGCTCACAACACCCTGCCCACACCAGCCATATACATGCACTTTGCACTACCCATCACACTGCTAGCTCTGTCATTACCTCCGCAGCCTCACGCCTACAACATCCACACAACTTGCTCACTACCTCCTGCCCACACCGGCCACACATTCTGTGCTAAAATTGCATTGCTAGCCCTGTCACTGCCTGTACAGCCCCTGCCTACAACAACCACAGACACTGGAGACTGTCTCCTGCCTAAAATCACACCTCTAGCCCTAAAACCTATACAGCCCCAACATTCACACACAGCCTTTCATACAGCGCTACAAGACCCACCCTCTCCTGGCATATATACCAGCATGGTCAGTACCTCATCCTCATGTTGACTGATGATTGTGAAATCATGAAACTTTGAGCATCAGCAAACAAGCCTTGATTGTACTTACGCAAACATCTCAGAATATCATAGTTACCCGCAACTGCATAAATCAAAAAACCAAACAATCTATATGAGAATCAGTTCTTTTTGGCTTTTCTTATTGCATATTTGAAAGATTCATCTCTTCAGCGCATGAATGAAGTGCTGAAATAGGGGCGTTACAGGGCGGTCGGGAGTGGTATGAGGGTGTGGGGGGGGGGAGGGGTTGGGGGAGTCCCCTGGAGAAAAAATTCGGATTTTTCGGCCCACAGGGCACGTTTAGCACTCTACAGCCGCAAAGGAGGGTTCCCCTAGCAAATATTCGCTTAGCTATGCAAAAGACGTTACTTCAGTAACGTTTGGTGCTAGCCAGGGTCCACACAGCTTTAACTCCTGTAGCTAGGCAAAAAACGTTACGTTAGTAACGTCTGGCGCTAGCCAAGGTCCACACAGCATTAATTTGGTATTTATTCCCATAGCTATGCAGAAGACGTTACTTCAGTAACGTCTGGCGCTAGCCAGGGTCTACACAGCTTTAATTTGGTACTTGTTTGTTTGTATGTGTCACGCCTGGCACGCCGTACCATCAAACACAGCTGGTCACAAACAGCTGGCTACAATATTCAAATAGGGCTTTCAAATGCAAGATCATAACGTGAAGCAACTTGGAAGAATTAGTATGTATGTGAAGTGTATGGGGGGGGGGGTGAATGCAGCCTTGCAGGGCAATCGTGCGGGTTCGAATCCCAGGGTATGCTTAAAAAAAATAGGAGAATTGAAAAATGTATAACATTCCGTTGCTTTTTTGCCTTGGTCATTAAGGTGGTAGACGGTGTCGTCATACCCTCGACCGTATCTGTCCAGTACCGTACCATCAAAGACGGCTGGCCGCAAACAGCTGGCCGCGATATTCAAATAGGGCTTTCAAATGCAAGATCATAACGTGAAGCAACTTGGAAGAATTAGTATGTATGCGAAGTGTATCGGGTGATGCATGCAGGGCGATAGTGCGGGTTCGAATCCCAGGTTATGTATTGAAAAAATAAATAGAAGAAATGACAAATTTATAACATCCCTATGCTTTTTTGCCTAGGTCATCACAACAAAAAAGCATAGCGTAGGGCCCTGAGCTTCCAAGCTCTCTCGCTTATGTATTTGTTTGTTTGTTTATGCCACGCCTGGTGCTATCCCGTATCTGGCCCGTACCGTACCGTACCATCTAAGACAGCTGGCCACAAACAGCTGGCCACAATATTCAAATAGGGCTTTCAAATGCAAGATCATAACGTGAAGCAATTTGGAAGAATGAGTATGAGTGCGAAGTGTATCGGGGAATGCATGTAGGGCGATGGTGCGGGTTCGAATCCTAGCTTATGCCTAAAATAATAGGAGAATTTAAAAATGTAGAACATCCCTATGCTTTATTGCCTAGGTCATCTAGGTGGTAGACGGTGTCGTATTACCCTCGACCGTACCTGTCCCATACCGTACCGTACCATCGAAGACGACTGGCCACAAACAGCTGGCCACAATATTCAATTAGGGCTTTCAAATGGAAGATCATAACGTGAAGCAACTTGGAAGAATTAGTATGTATGTGAAGTGTATGGGGGGGGGGGGGGTGAATGCAGCCTTGCAGGGCAATCGTGCGGGTTCGAATCCCAGGTTATATCTTGAAATTTTATAGAATCCCTATGCTTTTTTTGCGCAGATCATCAAGGCAAAAAAGCATAGCGTAGGGCCCTGAGCTTCCTAGCTCTCTCGTTCCGTGTTTGTTTGTGCCATCGGCATGCCTGGCGCTATCCCCTACCTTTCCCCTACCGTACCATCAAGGACAGCTGGCCACAATACTCAAATAGGGCTTTCAAATGCAAGATCGTGACGTGAAGCAACTTGGAAGAATGAGTATGTATGCAAAGTGTATCGGGGGAATGCATGCAAGTCGATAGTTTGGGTTCGAATCCTAGGTTGTCTAAAAATATGAGAAATGAAAAATTTATAACATTACTATGCTTTTTTTTGCCTAGGGCAACAAGGTGGAAGACCGTGTCGTGTTACCCTCGAAAGCTTTTTTTCTTTCGCTCAAGGCCCTACGCTTTGCTTATTTGCCTAGCTCATCATGCATGTTATTTGAACAGATGGAACATTTTTGCAATACAATGACGTGGTCGATCAGTTCGTTGTGGTATGGTTGGGCATTGTAGCCATCATGGTCGACGTAAACACTATAAGACCGCAACAAAGTTGGGGCCAAAGAGAATTTTATTTCTTTCACATATTTTTTCAGTGAAAACAAACCGCTCAACACCCTGGACCAGCTCGAAACTAACAAAAAATAAATAAAAAACTTTTGAATATTTATTAACATCCCACTGCAAGCACAGCCATTGAAGACAAGGTTTGGGCTAGACTGGAACTCATGCGGAGGAAATGGGGTTAGGCTTACGCCCAGGCCACCACATGGTAGGACGAATGTGGAGGGGGCCGCTAACAAGGTTAGGCTTACACCGCACTTCCCCATGGTAGGACAGATGTGGAAGTAGGCTGCTAACGGGGTTACGCTTACACCCGGACATCTGCATGGTAGGACGAATGCTCAAAGGCGGGGTGCTTTGCAGCCACCCACTCCATGTGAATGCCACCCAAAAATGAAATTGCTGGGGAGAGGCGTGAGCCCCAATCTAGCTGACCTTAACATGGGAACTACATGCAAGTGCACAGCGACGTTCAAGGACATAAATGCATTTGAGTCTACAGCAGATAGTGTCAAGAGGACAGGTGCCATCACCTATGTAGGGAGCAGTACGGGAGAGCAAAAGCATTCATACAGAGAGGAGTGCTAGGAGGGCAGTGTGGACGCTCCTGCCGCAAGCAGTGCTAAGAGGGGCAGTGTGGTCACCACGACCTATAGCGAGTAGTGTTAGGGGGCAGTGCTGTCACTCATACAACAGATAGTGTCAGTGCCGTCGCTCAGCCAGCTGCTAGGAGGGCGGTGTATGTACTCACGCTGTCGCCAGTGCCTTCGCGATTGGCTCCATGTGCGATTTTGACAGACGGACATACCGGAGGTGAGCGCTGCTCCGCCATCGGCCGGCCCTTTGGATGACGTAAGGTGGCAGGCCATTCCTTCTGGCGGCAGTGGCTGCACTGATATGCAGGTTATGGCTGGTGATCTTCTGGCCAGGGAGAGCTCGGCGGAGTTAGTCGTTCATATCTGAGGGGCGAAGCGGCTGGCCAGACTGGTAGCGGAAATACTCTCCCACCACTCGGGGGCGCAGCTGTGCGTACTTCGAGAATGCGGCTACAGGGCAGGTGCTATCGTTGGTGGCGCCGACCGTCACATCACTGCCCTCTTCCAGTTGCATTGTTTTGGAGAACGGAATAGCCATCCTCACTGTGTTCTCCCGGATGCAGACGCGTTCCTGCGTCAGCATCTTCCGCGCGTCGGTCGAGGTATACATACTGACTGGCAGGAACACATAGTAGGCAAGTGTGATAGCGCTCCAGAGCATGGCTTGGGCCGCTAGTAATAGACCAGAGTGCGGCAGGAAGCCCTGGATTGCACGGAGGTGTTGTTGCGTGACAGCACGGCATTCCTGCACCTGGCTGCTCGTGCACTGGTTGCGGGCGATACCCTGGAGCAGCAGATCCAGTCGTCCGTCCTGGAACGGGGACAACGTCAGGTGGTTGACCACGCAGTAATGCCAGAGGCCATGGAAGTAGACCTTGATAGTTGCCAGCCGGCACTTGGATGACATGTATGGTAGGAAATCCAGTAGGCGGGTGGCCTGAATTGGATATGGCGCGACACGGTGCAGGCGGGCGTAGCTCTCATATGCCGTCACACCGGCAGCGTACAGCCGGGTGGTACTTGCTGCCACTCCCGCAAGGATGAGGCCCATGGTGTGGTCAGTAGGCATGTCAGCTGCCGGACTTCTAGGGACTTGGGGACAGGAGACGTCTGGAGATGTAGCTTCCGGAAGCTCTCGACCTGCAACCGGGACAAACGGTCAGCAAGAACGTTGTCAACACCACGTATGCGTGATAAAAACACAACCATGTTATGCTAGGCAGCCAGTAGCAATGCAATCCTAACAAGTGTCATGATCTCTGGGCACCTAGACGTTCCTGTGCGCCAGATTGTGCAGACCACTTCGTTGTCACAGTGAACTAATAGTCGACGATTGCAAAGTCTTTTGCCTAGCATCATGCAGATAAGGGCGATGGGAGACAATTCGCGCCATTCTATGGACAGATCCTTGTGGAGTGCCTCCCACTGGCCGTACGCCCATTCTTTGCCACAGTCCAAGCCATAGGCACGGTCAGAGGCATCCGTGAACAGCGGCACCTCGGTGGGTTTGCACCAGGATGGGTCTAGCAGTAGTGATCGGCCGTTCCATGACTCAATGCAAGCGTGCCATCAGGATATATCATTTGAAGCCTCCTGGTTCGGGCGCTGGGTACTGTCAAGGGACGTGAACTGGCTGGCCTCGTCGAAGAGCCGGCGGCAGAAAGTGCACCTGGGCGGTACTACTTTGTCGGCAAACGACAAATAGCCTGCCAACGAGAGCAATTACCGTTCGGTGCACTGTACTCGGTGTACCCAGGAGTCAAGGGTGCTCTTTAGTTTCAACCGCTTTGGGGCTGGCAGCCGCATCTCCCGTGCTTGGGAATCAAATTCTATGCCCAAAAAGGTTACAATTGGGCATAGAGACAACTCAGCCTCGACAAAGTCACGCATACAAGCAGACCGACCAGCAAAGCTATTCACCCAAACACTAAGACTGAACCAACAGCAGACTCATCAACAATCAACTGACGGGGAAGCCATCCACACATTACTTCCATTGGGGAAAAACCAATAGCGGCATGAAGTCGCGTACGGTGATAGTACAACAACACAAGCAACTCAGACCTCCGATCACTAGAGGAGTCGAGGATCTTACGAATGAGGGTCAACAAAAGTGCGATTAAACCGCTCAGCAGAACCCTGAGACTGGGGATGCCTAACTGCACCAGTACGCACCTTCGTGCCAAACACACGGACCAAAGACTCAACAA